TGTTCTGTAGTCTGTCTAGCCAGATAATTCCACATCTTTTTATAATCCTCAATACGTTCATCAAGTATGACTCATGTAGAATTATGTCTCCATAAAACTAGGGTTTGACTTTGTGATCAACTCACTGTGCTTGATAGACCACTAACCCTCTTTCCCTGCCAAGCAACAGAAAAGCAAAGGCCAAACTTGCCTGCCTTCCTTTCCTTCTGCCCCAGAACATCTAGTTGTCTGTGTTTTCTATATTTGCCGGGGTCTGATACACTGCATGGCTTGTCTAAAGCCCCAGGGATCTTTGATGGTGGATTATGGTTCCAGATGGGACCTGAAATCAGGGAAGTCAACCTCTGCCTGAAAGGCTTCTCTCAGGGCTAGCCAAGATTTCCTACTGAAGGATATCCTTAAGGACCTGAAATGCTCTGATTGGTACAGCACTAAGAGTCAGGATAGCATAGAGTTTCTGTCTCTAGAGCCAGAGAGCCTGTGTTGCGGTACTAGCCCTACCACCCACTCAGTATGGAACCTTGAACAATTTACCCAGTTTTAGGGTTTCCTCATCTCGAAAATGGGAATGATAATAATAGTTCATACTTCATTAGGACTGTTGTGAGGATGATTAAATTAGTTTGAGTATGTAAGGAACATAGAACAGGGTGCCTGGCTTATAATAAACACCATCATTAAAATTTCAGCTATCATTTTCATTATTATTATCGTTGTTATTGTTGCCATTTGTATTATGGGTGGAAACAATATAAAAGTCTGCTCCCAAGACACCTCAAAGTGTCCTGGGTCAGGGATCATTGCTCCCATCTAACTGTTCAGACCTGTCAGAGCCAGGAGAGATTGTCTGGCTTTGTTCTGCTTCAGCTCAAGTCCTGAAGAAGACTAAGAGCCCACAAGGCTGAGTGACATCCTCAGAAGAGTATGTGTGGGTGCCTGGATAGCCTCTACCTCTTGGACCTATGAATTTAATGTATTTTTTTTTCAGTGTTCAAATTATTACCTATACAATAGATTATATAGCAGGGGGTAGTCAATATAAATTTTTTAGAAAACATTTTTAAGAAATATTGAATGAGAACTTGTACCAGTATCAAACAAGCTGATCTAACATGGCACCTTTCCAGGCAAAGTCCTTCCCTCTCTCTGAACTTTGGTTTCTCATCAATACAGTGAGAATTTGGAATTAGCAAATCTTGATAGTCCTTTGTAGCTCTATATTGTGTCAGTATAAGAAAACTTCTTGAAGTTAGAATTAGACTCTTCTCTGGGGAAATAAGAAGTATATTGGGGCATTTCACAGAACACAAATATTTTACACATACCCACACAGGTAAAAGTATTTGGTTCAATCTGATGATTATATTAGTGTATAGCCCTACCCTTTCTTCTTTTCAAGAAAACTTTTTCGAAACCTAACAGGTACTGACTTGATAATTGCCTTTTTCATTTTAGCCATTCTGATGACTGTGCACTGTGGTTTTAATTTCGATTTCTCTAATGAATAATAATGTTAAACATCTCATGACTTGGGGCCATTTAGTGTCTCTTCAAATCTTTTGGCCATTTTTCTCTTGGATTCTCTCCTTTTTCTTATTGATTTGTAGAAGATTGATTGTTTGATTTATGGAATTTTTTGGATACCAGTCTTAGATGGATATTTGAATTGCAAATATCTTTTCCCACTCTGTATCTTCATTTTTACTTTCCAAATGGTGTTTTTTTGTGAACAGAAGTTTATAATTTTAATGAAATCCATCTTATCAGTCCCTAACTTTATTGTTAGTGCTTTTTGCATTTTATTTAAAAAATCTTTGCTTATGCCAAGATCAGGAAGACATGTACCTGTTTTCTCTTAAAAATTTTATGATTTTATCTTTCAGTTAGATCCACCTATAATTGATTTTTGTGCATGTGTATGATGTGAGACAGGAGTCAATATACAATATTTTCCATATGGTTATTCAATTGGCCTAGCATAATTTATTAAAAAGATCATCTTTTCCTCTACCACAGTGCAGTTCATCTTTGCATTAGTCAAGTGATTGAATACATGCAGATCTGTTTTTGAGCCCTCTATTTTGTTCCACTGGTCTATTTTTTCTTCCTCGCCAATATCATACTTTCATAAGAAATGAAACTTCATAATAAATCTTGCTGTTTGGTAATACAAGACCTCCAAATTTGTTCTTCTTCAGTTGCCTTGGCTACCCTTGTCCCTTTGCATTTCCATGTAAACTTTAGAATCAGCTTGTCAACTCCCACAAAAAAGTGTGCTAGGATTTGAATCAATATTGTACTAGGTCATTCTTGGAAAAATGAACATCTTCATAAATTGAACCTTCCAATCCAAGAGTGTGGATCTATCCCTCCCTATTTTTTTTTCTTTTCTTTAGATCTTCTTTAGTTTCTCTCGGCAATATACTGAGGTTACAGTGTAGGGTCTTGCACATCTTACGTTTGATTTATTCCTACATATTTGACATTTTGTGATGTTAATGACATTTTTAATTTTGTTTTTAAAATGTGTTTACTGCAGGCTTATAGAAACGACCTTTGTATCCAACAACTTGCTAAATTCAATTGTGAATTCTAATAGCTTGTAGTGTCTTTTGACCTTTTTAATGTATACAATCATGTTGAAATGCTTAATGACAGTTTGTCTTCTTTTTTAGTCTTCACATACCACTTGTTTTATGTTCCTTTTTCTGTCCTTTCTTGCTTTTAAAATTTTTTTTATTTTTAAAATAAATTTATTTATTTATTTTTGGCTGTGTTGGGTCTTCATCGCTGCTCGCGGGCCTTCTCTAGTTGTGGCGAGCGGGAGCTACTCTTTGTTGTGGTGCGCAGGCTTCTCATTACGGTGGCTTCACTTGTTGTGGAGCACAGGCTCTAGGCACATGGACTTCAGTAGCTGTGGTACACAGACTCAGTAGTTGTGGCTCACAGGCTCTAGAGCACAGGCTCAGTAGTTGTGGTGCACAGGCATTAGTTGCTCCGCGACATGTGGGATCTTCCTGGCCTAGGGCTTGAATCCATGTCCCCTGCATTGGCAGTTGGATTCTTAACCACTCGCCCCCAGGGAAGTCCCTCTTGCTTTTTTTTAATTTGAATTTTGTTATTTGATATTTTTTCCCTCTAGTAACTTGTTAGTTTTATTCTTTTCAGTTATACATCATTTTACTATTTTTTTGGTGGTAATCCTAGCAGTTATGCATTCTTGACTTATTACAGTCTAGTAAAAATTACTGCTTTTACCACTTTCCCAGTAATATTAGGACCTTATGATACTTTAACTCCATTTACCCTCTTCTGTCTTTTGCGTTATTTTTGTCATGAAATGTTATTCCACATAATTTTAAATCCCATAAGATAGTTAAGTTTTATAGAGTTAATGTTGATTTAAACATATTCAGAAAATTACTTTTTCCAGTGCTCTTCATTCCTTCTTTCATTCCTTGTTTCTGTCTGGGATCATCTTTCTTCTTTTGGAAGAATTCCCTTTTAGGATTTTAGTGCTTTCCTGCTGGCATGAATTCTCTCAGTTTTTCTTGGTCTAAAAATGTCTTTATTTCACCTTTATTTGAAGGAAATTGTTTTTCTGGGTATAGAAATCTAAATATGTGCTACTATACCAAATACCATTTAATAGTCTTACGGATGGATGAAAATTTATTGAGCTTCAAATAATTTTCATAATTTATAAGGTTGACATTGATCTTGGTGTTCTAGTCAATATCGTGAGATTTCTCCTAATGTCTGCCTCTTTCTAGCATTCTATAATGGAAATAGTCTCGGATTTGGAAAGAAAAATACATAACTCAAGAGTCAATCAGGGCCACTTGTGTGACCTTGGCCAAGTCACTTAACTTCTCTGAGCCAGTTTCATCATGTATAAAATGGGAAAAATATAATATTGCCTCCATTACACTGGGAAGTTATGATGCTCTGTTGAGATATATATGAAAGTGCTTTGTAATATGTAAAGTACCAATCCGTTTGAAATTTTTAGTGTTATTATTATTTACTGGAACAGAAACGCTTTCAGTGTATATATCCAGAATTTTCTTGAACACCCACAAAATGGTTAAAATGATGGTATTCATGTATGTATGTATTGATATATATCTTGCCTTTCATGAGAAAGCAGGACAGTGTTTGAAGTTACATAAAACACAGCTTACACAAGGTCAACGGCAAATTTATTTCTGATCTTTCAAGCAAATAATAAGAAAAGGGAGACCTGGCTAGTTACATAATTCAGAATAGCTAGAAGATAAAAATAACCCATTATTCAGGAGAAAAGTTCTTTCTTAAAACTCAGTTCAGGCAGAAATTTCTCCTTGGTTCTCTTAATGATGTAGATTATTTAAAAGATTTTTCTGCTAGTTTAGAGATGACTGATTTGCATAGTTAACACAAATTAGTGTTGGACTGATCTAGAACTTTAATATTGTTTCATACTCCTGAAGGGAGAATTATACACATTAATGAGTGCTGCAGGCAGCCACTCTCCCACCCTACTTGCAAATGGATTCTATTTAGAAAACTAATAAAGATGCCAGCTTCCTTTTCAGAATGCTTGGATATACATTAGAGGGAAGGCTAGGCTAATAAATTTAAATTTTATTTTGCATATATAACATTAATTGAACTGCCTTAGGAAGACAATATTTACCTGCATTTTACTTTTCCTTCAAAGAGGTTGATTCAAAAATTTCTTACTACCTTCATCAAATATTTATTGAGTCCCTACTATGTGTAGGCATATTCCTGTTGGATTGTTTGCTCTCCTCTGACAAAAAGTGTTCATTCAGACTTACATTTTGTGCTTTCTTTTTTCACTTTTTCCTTTTTTTTTTAGTAAACATGTATCTAAATAGAAAACAAAGTGTATGTTAGTGCCTCACAACCAATGCCCTAACACATCTGAGGTTTTGTATGATGATCAAATTTAAAAGAGGACATTTATCCCTCATTCAAATTCTTTGTGTATTCAGGTCTCTGGCATGCATTTTGTATGAGATGTGCTGTATGAATCATGCATTCACTGGCTCCAATTTCTTATCCATCGTTCTAAAAATTGTTGAAGGCGACACTCCTTCTCTCCCTGAGAGATACCCAAGACAGCTTAATGCCATCATGGAAAGGTACGGAAAGAAATGTATTGCTGCAGAAGCAATTTTAAATTGTACTTATATTTTAGTTCATTTGAACAATAATTTTCTTTTTAAACATTACAGCATGTTGAATAAGAGTCCTTCATTGAGACCATTTACTGTAGAAATTTAAAAAATTCCTTACATTGCTGAACAACCACAGGTATTTAAAATGAAAGGGATACCTGGAAGCACATATTAGCATTTATATACCTTCTAGGACTTGTAGATGTGCTGTGGGAATAAGATGCAGTAAGAATCAGTCAGAAAGGAGAAACAAGGTTTTTTTTAAAAGCTGGGGGAAATTATTAGTAGGCAATCTCTGCCAAGGAAGGTGTGTGAACTCCAGCTCCCTGGTGCCCCAGATGTGAGAAGTTTGGATTGTGATTTTTTGCCTAACTGCAGCATCCACCCTTAGAGCTCTTGGCTTACAAATCTTACCTCTACCTCTTACCTTTGTACGTGTATCCCTGCTAGTGCAAGAATGTACTACTAATGATACAAAATCTGGGGGTTTCATTGGGCCTTTATTATTCCATTCCTTATTTTGTATCCTACTAATACTTTTTATTGATTAGCTGAGTTTATTTTGTTTTCCTGTAGATTAAAAATTTCGATGCAGAGAATCTGCCTTTAATGGTAAGCAAAAAGCAAATGGTGTCCTCTCAGGAAGTTTTTTTGTTTGTTTGTTTCCTTGTTTTTAGACTTCGTAGGCTTTTACAATACAAATCCCTTGAGCAGATTTCCTTTAATTTTTATGAATAGTTTTAAGTGGACCCACAGAGCAGTCATTCACCTTCACAAATGGGCACACCTTTTCATCAGTGTCCAGTTCTCAGGCACAGGAAACAGGGATGCTGACTTGATGTGCAGTCATTAGTTGAGCTCTGGCACTGTACTGACACTGGGGGGTGCCAAAATGATAGGAACAGATATGGCTCCTGTCTTTTTGAAGCTTGGCTGCTAGTAAGAGGACCCAGTAACCAAGAAAATGTAAGCAAGTAAATAAAATAATTGTAAACTATCAGAAGAACTAGGAAGAAATATAGCATGCTGTGAAATAAGGGAAGGGAAGGGCTTTGGTGGTCAGAGAAGGAGCAGGTGACATTGTGACATCAGTGAGATGGTGAGAAGCAGCGTGCCCTACAAAGAGCCTGAGGGAGAGTGTTGTGATCACAGGGGTGGCTCGTACAAAACTCTGACTTAGGTGATGTCTCCTGGAGGGGGAAGCACTAAAGATGTGGGATAAGCAGGACAAGAGGAGGAAGTGGTGGGAGGTCCCTGGTGCTTTCAGCTCTCCCTGAGTATAGCTCTCCACTTGCCTGAGGGCAGACTTCTGAAAAGAGGCTGGTTGTTGGGATCAAAACCACAATGAAGGGTGTGTGAGCAAAAAAACAAACAAAAAAGTCAAAAGGCATCAAATAGATCCCCTGGGACTAGGGTGAGACAAATGAGGCATTTTCCCTGGTGCAAAATTAAAAAGGACACCAAAAACTCAGTAATCCAGATAAATAATGTTGCAATGTAGTGTTTTTTAAAAAAATCAAAAGTAATGCTAAAAAAAGTCCATAGTAACAAAATATCAAACGTTCAAGGACAAGATCCAATGGGGCTAGGATGAAAGTGGAGCTAAAACCAAGCAGGACCCTGCAGGGCCATCTCAGGTATAAAAGTCCCTCCATGTCCACTGTTCCTTGAAACAGTGTCCACTGTTTGTAGAAAAAGGCTTTAGTCTCCTAAGACTTTCCTGAGTTCCAAGAAACAGACTCAGGTAGTTACTAATTAGAGAACTGAGGGAATGTAGAAACAAAAGAAAAGCAGTCAAGCAAGAAAAGTAATGATAGCCTAAACAACAGTTCAGTGATAAAACAGAATTCTAGTTCCTCCCCAAGGGATATATATAATAATCTAATTCATATGTTTGAGTTGTTCTGCAGAAACTAGGACCCCTACACAGGTGGTGACTATATGATGAAAACCAGCATGTAGACCCCAGACTGGTTGGAACCAGAGATTGATGATTAAGATTCCCAAAACACCACCTTGTTACCTCAGCACCAACCAATCTGAAGAAAGTCCATGAGCTGCAACCCTCACCACAAATGTTGCTTTTAAAGACCCTTCCCTGAAAGCTATCAGGGAGTTCTGGTCTTTTAAACATTAGCTACCCATTCTCCTTGCTTGGTGCCCTGTAATAAACGCTGTACTTTCCTTCGCCACAACCTGGTATCATTAAATTGGCTTTGCTGGTGAGCAGACCTAAGTTCAGCTCGGTTAGAAACTGAGGTAGAATGGTGCAAGTTCAGGACCGGGTCTTGTCGCTTTTTAAACTTTTGCTATTGTATTCTCCAAGGCTTTTTGTCATTAATGTTGATTTTTTTTATAATACTGCATTAAAATATTATTTATCTTGGTTACTGAGTTTTTTATGCCCCTTAAATTTGTACCTGAGGTGAGTGCCTTGCTTGTCTCACCCTAGTCCTGGCCTTGGTGATGCTGAAACTCAGCCTCTGTGCACCAGTGATGAATCAAATCTTGGAGACAAAGTTTTGGGTGAAGTAGAAAAGAATAGCTTATTGCTTTGTCAGGTAAAGGGGGACACAGAAGACCCATGCCCTCAAAGCTGTGTGTTCCAACTCAGGGGGATTTGGTGAGGAGTTTTATAGCAGTGGTTCAAGGGTAGGGTTGCTGTTAAGGATCAGGGTGTGTGCAGGGCCTGCACTCCTTTAATCTGGCCTCAGGTGGGCTCCTGATGAGCTTCTGTGGTTCTCCAGGTTATCAAACTCTGACTTTCCCTCTAGAATGAAGAATGCTTCATCAAGTAGTTAACATCTTCCATTTGTTGGGGGTTTTAGTTCTGCAGAAGAACTCAAAGGTATTGTTATGTGTATCCCTTGAGGCAGAACCAGGACCCTGTCCCAAGGCTGCACTATTGTTTCTTAACTGCTCCTCCCTTCTCTCTGCATTCCCTCCCTTCATTGATTAGCAACTGTTTGAACCTGCCCTTTGGAACTCAGGGAAAGTCATGGAGGCTGAAGCCTATTCCCTACAAATAGGGGACACAGAAAGGCTTTCGTGCCCAGGAGCCTCACAGGGTCCTGTTCGGTTTCACTGGGAGCAGAGACATCCTCCACTACAGTCCCTGAGGTGGGAGAGAACTGTGTGTTCTTGGAGCTGAGGGAAGGCCTGCCTGTGGCTGGGTGACCGGGAGCAAGAGAGCAGGCAGAGCAATATGAAGTTGGAAAGATGGACAGGAGCCTGACCCCACAGGAGCTGCTGTGTAATGTTTTAGACCTGTTACAGAAGGAAAAATAGTTACCAGTGGGTTTGATTTCAAGCCTCAGTAGTACTACACATCAGAAAAGGCTACTGGTTATTTTATGCCTCTTCATCCCTGAAGAGTCTTTAAGGTATGTTACGGCTGTTCTTTTTTTCAGCACCTGATGTGCCAATATTCGGAAATGACCCTGGAAGACAAGAATTTGAATCGTCAGAAGGAGGAAGCTTATATAATTAATGCTGTGTAAGTAATTGCTTTGTTTTTAAAAAGCCCACTGAGTGTAAAGGTTAAATGCATTTGTCTTAAAAAATATTAGTGCTAAGCTGACAGCATGGAGTATCCTAGAATTCACTTAAGTCTTGCCAAGAAATTAAGGAGCTTCAGTAACTTGATGTGCCAAAGTCCTTTGCCCCAGGTGGTAGTAAATTGAAATCATAAAAGTTTAAACCTCTGCACAGCTTACAGATCTGCAGGGTAGCTCTGCAGTTGCATTTTAAGTATACAGAGAAATTCATCTCTCAAACGTTTAGTGATATTTATGCTAATGAACATTCAGATTAAGCATAAATGGCTTTCACACGTTGGTTGTTTAACAGGAACTGGCAGAGTATCTATTGAAAAGCTGACACTGTAGGGTCCTGGGACAATTGAAAATAAGCCAAAATTTACTTTCTTGAGATATACATAAGAACTAGAGAATGTGTGTTTCACAAAGAGCCATAATTTTTTCCTGATCTCATTTGTCTCTCCTACCTATTCAAAATTTCTATGCCATAGCTTACAAGATCCCAGAATACTAGGTTATGTCAGAACAGCCATGTACAGCTGTGCAGGCTGTGTACTGCACAACTCCAGGGGGCACCACTGATAAGACCAAATCTATAATTTTGCTGAAGAAATGTTATTTAATTTTGTTCCAATGAGAATGACAGTCCCTCCCAGAACTGTGCAGGGCAGTGAAGTGAGAATGGTAGCCCTCATCAGCTTGATCTTCAAGGCCAAATTACACAAATATGCTTCTCTAACCCCCAGTCTAGTGGTTTCTCAACTGTGCCGTGTTTGTTTTCCATCCCCACTTTCAAACTGAGGGAACTGGTCCATCAAAGGTATTCAGTCTTTGTTTAATGCATGATCTCCAGTTAAAATACCCTGCAACTCAGGAGATACATCTTTAGGCATGCCCCTATAACCTAGTTTTCTTGGGTTACTACCTATTTTTTTCAGGAATGCCTGGAACTTCTCATTTTATTTTATTAACAAGATATGTGAGAGTAGTAGGTATCTTATTTTTAAAATACTGGACTAACTTTAGCTATCATTTTGCACTGCAGTTTTGAAACAGTTTGCCTGACTGTGCTTACAATTATAGTGTGCTTGAATCCAGTTCTTCGGGTGATCTTTCACATTATGAGATATTGATTTCAAATCGTCACTGTTATTTTCAAGATCTATGACTGTTTTGAGGGGCTCTATCTGGTTTTACAAAATAAAGCATGTGTATTCCTGAAAACTGCATGGCCCCTGGAGGCTCTGGTCTGAACTGTATTCTAGAGGGATGAGAACTGCCTACAGAGGTCATTACAGTTTCCTCATAGTGTTTCTTTCTTTTTTTTTTTTTTTTTTTGTGGTACGCGGGCCTCTCACTGTTGTGGCCTCTCCCGTTGCGGAGCGCAGGCTCCGGATGTACAGGCTCAGCGGCCATGGCTTACGGGCCCAGCTGCACCGCAGCATGTGGGATCTTCCAGGACCGGGGCATGAACCCGTGTCCCCTGCATCGGCAGGAGGACTCTCAACCACTGCGCCACCAGGGAAGCCCTCATAGTGTTTCTTTTCTTTTTTTTTTCCTGTGTACGTATATTTTAATGTAAGTGGGGTCATCTTATACACATTTTAAAACTTGAATGTTTTTTATTTAACAAATATATGTATTTTGACAATTATTCAATCTAAGTATATGAATATACCCCAGACTTTTCATATTGTCCCCTCCTATGTACACTAAATATAAAGATGAAAATAGCTTTATTTCTGCTTAAAGAAACAATACTATTTTTAATGTAAAATATTCAGACAATACCAAAGATGAAAGAAATAGTTAAAAAGCAACTGAAATCTCGCCACACTGAGATGATCCCCATTTTGGTGACTAGTTAAGTCTATTCCTTTAGGTATTCACATAAGTGTAAACATACACCCGTATCTACCACATACATGTTTATAATATTTATCAGTGGATTACATACAAGTTGATTTTTATCACAAAACTGTTTTACTTGTGCTTGGGGATTTTTATCCTCCCTCCCTGTCCCCCCCTCATAGTGTTTCTTAAGGAGGGAGTTCAGTGCAAAAGGCATTCCGCTATTGGGCCCTAACCAAGCCAGGCACAGAAGCAAATGCCATTGAGAATGTGGTTGCAGACCTTTCAATACATGGTTAATGTAAGCACATTTCTTTAACTGAAGAAAGAGGCTCTCGAATAATATTGGCTAACATTTTCAGGGGTAATGACCATATGCTTTGCTCTGTTATAAGCTTTTTGCATGAATTAACTCATTTAAACTCACAACAACCCTACAAAGTAGGTACTATTATTATTATTATTTAAGCAATCATAGAGAGGTCAAGTAACTTGCCCAAAGGCATACAGCATGTAGCCTGGAACTAGGATTTGAACTTAGAGAATGTTCTTAACTGTGCAATTAATCACTATGCCATGCTGCCATAAAAATACCTACTGTATGAAGCCTAGAAGATAAGGCATATTCAATAACTTTTAGCTATTGTAATACTACCATTTTGGGATACTTTTATATGTCAGGCACTGTACATACATTATCTCATATAATACTCAGGATAGCTCATTCTTTATGGATGAGAAAACTGGGGTTCAGAGAAATTCAGTAACTTGCCCAAGGCTACAGAGCTAATGAGTGGTAGAGATGGGATTCAAACCCTGCCTAATTCCAAAATTGTGTCTTATCCACATGGTTGAATTAGTCTGCCAGTCTATTTACTCCTTAATGGCCAAGATCCTAATTTGTCTTGCACTATGAAAAGCAGTCATAGGCAATGAAATGAGCAGAAATTTGCAAAGTACATAATTTGCTTTTAAACAAAAATCTAGTTTAAAAAATATTGCCAATTAACCACAGTCCTTCTTGGCTAATTACCTACCCAGAGTTTATTAGTTTTCACTTGGCATGTCTTGAGATGCTTTCCCTTCTCAGTAGTGTAATGATACTTCTGTAAAATACTTGTTTAATTTTTCTGAGCATGTTTGGGATGGGTTGCACATGGGAATCTTTATTATCTATAGGCAGAAAAAATCCACCTGCAGACCCTGTGGGCGCTGTCTGAGGTACAGAAAATGACACCAAGAGAGAGGATGCGGCTGAGGAAGGTCCAGGCAGCTGATGAGGAGGCCAGGAAGCTAAAGTAAGTGACCTTCCCTTAGTGCCCTGGGCCCTGGGCTGCCTCCCAGGGCTCTAGAGGAACTTGCTGAAGAAAAGCAAAAACCACAACAAGAAAATGCACATATTTATCAGTTTATTCATTTATTCATTCACTCATTCCCTCAAAAGATGGTTATTGAGCCATAGATGGTTATTGGATGCCAGGCACTATTAATAGCAGGCTTTCAGTCTTGTGTGAAAAGAAGGATTGAATATCAGGGAGGTTATTAGGAATGAAAATATAAGGTCAGCCTCCAGACGAAGCCTCTTTGTTGTTGACACCTTCTGTACACAGCGCCGTGAGGGGGTGATAAGGTGGCCTCACTATTCTGTCCACACTCCCCAGGTGTTTGCTAAACCCCTCTGCCCAGAGCCCTGGCTGCTGTGTACCTGCAGGAAATTGCTGGCTTTAAGAAGGAGCCTGGAAACAGCTCTGTTTTGTCAGGTAAAGCCCTTCACAGTCTGCTCTGGGCATGCTGCTGGTGTGAGAGATCACAAGTGTTTAGAGTTTACACATGAAAAGGGGGTTCCAAAGAGCCCAAAACTCCCAATTTCTCAAAGACTGATTTTTCAGCTGGTATGTGACCCAATTGCCTAATTTTTCTTCTTCTTTCTTCCTCTGCCAATTTTTTGGTGGCTTAGAAGCCCCAACAAAGAATTAGAGGGACAAAAAAAGACCTGAAACTCAAATCTGTCCAATGTGATATCATTCAGTGTTCAGCTGGAAGATATATGCAAACCAGTACACCATGAAGTGTGGATTTTGCTGAAGAAATATAGTCAAGAAAGTTGTTTGGACTGTTGCATCAACTCACAGTCCCAGATCTATTTCTAACACCTCAGGAATGGCGATATTTCCAGGGTACCATGGTTCATGTCATTGGTTGAGGGTGAAAGGAAAATTAAATCTCTGACAGGAACAGATTAAAAAGGCAATTTAACAACTTGCACATTACAATTTATTTTTCAAATTAAAACTATTTTTAATACGCAAAAAAGTCATAGATCTACCTCATGGCATTTAATATTTTTGTTATTAAAGGCAATGATTTTTAAATAAGTTTGTTCTTGATTTTATGAATGAATTGCATTGGAGTGGTTTTGATTATTGTTTCTAGGATTTGAGAAAGGTCATGTGTTTTAGGTAGAAAATGACTCCGTTGTCATGAGGGTTATAATGTACCCACATAATAGACAAGAAAATTTGACTACAGGGATATTCAGTGATTTTTCAAGAAATCTAAGTATAAATTAGCATACAAGTAATCACAAGAACTCAAATCTTTCCTCCAGTTTAATAGCAGGTCTATTAAATTCAACTCTTCTATTGTAGAGGAAACAGAAAATGTCTGAGAAAAATTCCCCTTCACAGTGGCTCTCATATTCTTTTCCATAAATTCTTTGAAATGCAGGTCTGTTTTCCACATCTATGGGTTTGTTACCCAGTTATTCATATGTGTTGGGCTCTCTCCTGAGCATCAGAGACACACTCCTGTCCTTTGTCAGCACAGGCCGAGAGCACACAGGAACGGCGCCACCCTCTTCCCCTGAGTTCTGGGTTCTTGAGGGTGAACAAAGAGCCAGCATCCTGCGTGCTTTAAAGGAAAATCGAGTGGGGCTGCACCGCACTCACGTGATAAGGGAGAGACCACAGGCCTGGCTGCCCTACACCCCAGTCTGCCTTTTGAAACAGGGATCACACTTGTGTAACGTAGATGTGGTTTTAGCAAATTGCAGCTCTTTTTCTATGTTCACTTTATGCAGAAAGCTTTTGGAAGAAAAATATGAAGAAAACAACAAACAAATGCAAGAACTGAGATCTCGGAACTTGCAGCAGCTGACTGTGGATGTGCTCCACGTGAGTGCGCTTCTGTTTTAAATTTTACGAAAGACCTTTTCTTGCCTCAGATTCTTCAGATTCATGGGGCCAGTTGGGTAGTAAAAGGGACAAGGTAAGGAAAAAAAGCATCCAGACCAACTCTGCCCAATTCCAGGCTGGACTGGGATTTGTTTTAGAACGTAGGCCAACAATTAGTGATGGCACTAATTCAAAGCAGCTGTACCAAGTGCCTGCTGTGTAAGGATGACTTAATCTGCATTGAATGAACAACTGAAGAGTTAAAAGTATGACTTTGCAGAGCAAATGTGTGTCTATCTAATTTTGAATTTCAGCCGTGCTATTGTTGCTTTACTTCTTTAGTCCACTGTTCTTTTTCTGTCTTATTTTTCGTTCTTTCCCTCTTTATTTTCTGTCGCCCATCCATATCATCGTGCGTTGTGTTAATAACCCCTTTCAAACTTTGGAGAATTATCATACATATCCAATAATAGGGCTGCAGACTCACATGAAATGCACCCCAAATTCATGTCCTCTGCATCCCAAGCCTCTAAATGCCATCCCCTAATGGTTAAAAATATCTTCATTGACCTTGGTGTGGACTTTGATACTTAAGGTAGTCTTTCTTCAGGGTTGTATTTGGATAATAGACATCAACACCAACCTCCTAGCTCTTTGGTAAAAACAATTTGGGAAGGAGTCCTTTTTATGGAAAACTTTATTGTCTCAAATTCTGGTTATTTGTTCATTGGTCATCCCTGTATCTGAGGGAGAGTCTTTCCTTTAGCAGGAAGAACCAAGCCCCTGAGGCTGTGGGGATGATCCCTGAGGTCTGGGGATGCTCATTCTACTGTAGCTCAGTAATCACAGGGCTCTGCACCCTGGGGTGTGCCGGAGCCCTGTGCAGAGCTCACTCGCAGACAAGGCAGAGCATGAGAACGTTGTTTTCTGTCTCCCTCTGATTGGTGATCCACTTTTCTCAATTACTTAGTGGTTGGGAGTGCTTTAGAGTTCTGAAAACCCAAAGTTGGAGCAGATGGGGGCCCAGCCTACATTGACCTTAGGAGTCTCTGTCCATCAGGCCCTTTAGCAGACAGTATGTGGGTGCTGATGCTGCTCCATCCCAACCCCTATTCTCCACCATCTCTTACTCCCAGGGAGGCTGGCCTCAGAGGTGTAGGGGTGGGATGGTTCCTGCTCACAGAACCTTAGGGTGGAGAAGTTGCCAGCTGAGGGGCAGCAGTGTCAGACCCCTACTCGGGGAAGGGTCTTGACACCACCAAGCCCCCTGCAAACACTGAGCACCCTCCTTCAGCTCCCCAGATACTTTTGAGGCCCTGAAATGATGACTTGTGGAGGTAGGTCATCTTCCCCTCAGGATTGAGACTGCAGATTCCCGCACATCCCCAACAAGAGTCTGGCATGATGATAAGAATTCTGCATTTGTTAATATATGTAAAATACTTGTTTAATCAGCTGATAAAAACCAGGACATTTTTCTGGAATGCTCAGGGTCCCCTGCTTCTAAGGGATTTTACCCCCAGAGATTGGAAATTGAGAAGTACAGACGTGATAATATTTTGTTTTATAAAGCCTAAATAACTTTATTCTTAAAGTTAGCATATGGCAAATAAAAATGTAGTTTCAAGTACGATCTTACATTTTAATGTCTAATAACTTACTTAACTTCTTTGCTTTTCTTCATTGGCCTTAAAATTAATCATTTCTGTGTTCTTTTTCATTTCCAATATGATTACTATTAGTGTGAAGCAACAACACTGTATGAGGTCTTGTCCCTTCTATAAATTAGGGCCCTTGGGGGATCCTAAAGTCACTTAAGATTTTATTAGCTCTATATTATCCTACAGAACATGGGAGTCCAGATCTTGGCCCAGTTAAAATGAGGAAAGTGAGGATTTCGCAGAGATTTTATGAAGTCCGAACTCATAACCTCCACAGTGTCTGCCTAGTTTCTCCCAATTCCACCCCCGTCCATCAGCAAGGAGCAAAGGCAGGAGGGAGGTGCCTACCGCTGTCTTGACCAGAGATGGTGGTTCATTCTTTGGTCGTGTAAGATTCAGTATCACCAACATCTTCTGAGCTTTCCAGAAGCAAGTTTCCTAAGTTGCATATTTATGTAGGCAGGAAGTGCTCCAGGCAGCCCCTGGCTTTTGAGGAGAAGACCCTCCCTAGGCTGATTCTGCCCAGTGCGCAGCGTTGTTCAGCACCACAGGTCTCTCACCCTCCTTTGTGCAGTTACATCAGACATTTCCCTTTGACCCATCAGTAGCATCCCACTTTCTCTCTTTCAAATGTCACCGCCTCTTCAGGAGAACCGTCTTTGACCTCAGTCTACTAGCCCTTCTCCAAATTCTTATGTTTTCTAGCAATGCTTCTCAAACTTCAAAATGTACCTGAATCACCTCTTGGTCTTGTTGAAATGTAGATTCTGATTTGGCTGGTCTGGGGTGGGTCCTGGGATGCTGCATTTCTAACAAACTCCCTGGTGATTCCTATGCTGCTGAGCCAGGACCGCACACTGATTAATAATGGACAGAAATTGGGGTTCTTGAAAGCAGCTTCAGATGAAGGAGGATCTGGAAAAGCCATGATGAGCAGACCTTCCTATAATCTCTTTAGGAAAAAAGAGCATTTAATGGGAATTGAAGAAAAGGAGGGGCAACCTGAGGGAAGGCTTTCTTGTTACCCCTGGAGGAGGTTGGAGAGAGGAGGCCAGGCAGAGAGGAGAACAGTCTGATCACATTCACAGGCACAGGAGTGAGGCAGGCCTAGTATATTCAGAGAACCAAGGAGGGGGAGCTGATACTTTGCAGATGGACTGAAGGGTCTAGACATCTCATGGAAAGGCATCAGTGAGCTGAAAATGATGAAATACAATGTGAGAAATAAGCTGGATTAATTGGATGCAAGAGGCTAAAGAAAAACATGATTAAGAAGGAAAGAAGGAAGAGGCACACATTCCCATCTTTGCCCAGATGCACATTTGTGGTTGAATTTCTTCCTCCTCTCGCTGGGGCTCTGTTCTTTAGTGCTCTTCCTTCTGTCTGGCTGGCTGAAGCAAACCTCATTATATTTCAAAAGCAGTTGTAGGAGATAGAAACACAGTTAGGGGAGAGACAGGCTGGCTGTGTCACCTCTTAGATGTTTTAACAATTCTTTGAGGCGTTTAGGAGGGTGGCTTGCTTTGTTTTTCAGAACCTGACTGATGGGGCCTTTTACACTGGAAGGAATTTTCTGCTCCACTGAATTTGGGCTTTGAAATCTTGAAGCGTAGTTGACTGTGGAATCATGTTGGCACCATTTCTTTAAAGGATGGTAGCTTAAAACAACTAGATACCATGATGCACACACTAAGCCCAGTCTTTCTTTTATCCTGGGGTGTATGCAGGTGTGATGGTTTCTGTGAAAATTGTGTGGCAGATCAGGCCTCCAAATGTGAAACAGTCCTGGGGATCAAAGAGCAGATCAAGTCTTGCTCCTTCTAAGAGAAGCAATTATAACAATTCTGTTCTCTTCAAAGAGAACCTCAGAAAATCAAAGTCAACTGAGAGTCTAAATACTTGTTGTCAAATAATTTCTGAAGTGCACACAGAGGCACATTTCGTGCAGTCTCTGCTTTTTGCACTATCAGTGACCCTTTGAAATTTGGAGCCAGTTTCACCTCCTGCAACAATTATTATACAGTACAAAAAATGGACTTCTTAAAAATATTTTATGACTGTATTTCCACAGATGCCACATCATGGTGTAACACAGCTATGTTTTGCTTATTCATTTAAGCTTAGTTTGAACTTTCTCCTTTTGATAAGAAGATGCTCTTGGAATAGTTCTCCATGAAAGCCATTTACCCAGGAAAACAGGTCAATTCAGCATTAGCTCTGGGTGGCAAATACACACACACACGCACACACACACATGCACACACACACATGCACACACACACATGCACACACACACACACAGAGTGATTAGTTGACATGCCTACTGAAACATTTGAGAAGTTTAACTTTTATTTTTTTGAAGTGGAAACTCTTTCATGTCACCTCTTAGATCTCTTTCTTTTAGGAAATTGAAATTCATAGAATCACAGAGCTTTTAAAGCTGGAGGAGAGCTTTAAAAGACATTATTGAAGCCAGCACCTCTAGTCTTGAGATGAGGAAGCTGAGTAGGGCTGGACATCCTGCCCGCCTCACCCTCACCATGACCCTGACACTCAGGCCAAGGGAGGTTATATGATTTGCCCAAGGTCACCTGCCAAGTTAATTCAGAGCTGTTCCTCTCATTCCAAGCTGCCTTCTTGAGATTTGAAAATGTTATCATGTTTAAGGGAAAGGATTAGGTGGGCTTTTGTTTCTAAGTCATCTTCTAAACAAGAATATTGTTTCATTTGTGGTAATGGTGTTTCCTCTGATCAGCTTCTCATGAATTGTTCATTACCTTCTGCAAGGAATTTGATGACCCAGCTTCAGAGAACCTACCTGAGTCTCAGCCCATTCCTTCCCTGGACCTTGGCACACTTGGGTCAAGTGTAGAGGACACTGTAGCTGACCTTGGAGATCACGGTATAAGTTTGCATTAGCCTGCAGAAGGCTGCTCTTGGATGACACGTGTGTTGGTGAGGCTGACCCTCCAGTGAGCCTGGCCGGCCTCTGGGAGAAGCCTTGGGTGTATGTGGCCACCTTCCATCAGTTTGCCAGAGCTGGGCTGTGGTGGTGAAGAGAAGAGAAGCTGAGGGCTTTGTCCATCCTCTCTTGTCTTCTTTGTCATAGCGAAGATGAGCTGGAAACTCGCACCGGATGAGGGACCTCCGCTTCTACATGAGTTAAACAGCATCACTACTAACATGTGTAAGACTGTGAATGCTCTGAAGTAAGTTGTTTCCCTGGCCCTCATGAACCAGAAAAAAAGTGCTCAGAGCTGTCAGCCAAACTGGGGAGATATGTCATAGCCTAATGTTATCAAACATGAGTTTTAGAGTAAAAAAGCTGGCCCTATCAGGGAAGACCCTGGCAACAATCTGTCTAGGTCTCAGTTTCCTTTACCATGAAACAAGAATAAAGCAAATTAGCTAAGGTCTGTGACGTGCTCTAAGCTCCATGCCCAGCACATGGTAAAAACCAAAGAGAGGGAAGCAGTTCATGACTCTGAGGGGCAGGGCTGGGAACGTGGGAACTTGAAGTCCTGTAGGGCCGCTGACAAGTGTCAGGAACATCATAGGCACTCAGTGAACATTCTTTGAGTGAATGAATGTGTGGATGAATGACATGTTGTCTCGACCTCTGAGAAGCAGATGCCAAGACGGGACTAAAAGTGCAAGGATATTATTAGGGGAAATGTCTGCATAAAAGGAGTTAGGAAAGGAGCTAGGAAAGGCTGAGAGAACTGTCAGACCGCAATTCGAGTCTCATTCCAAGTGAAGAGAGAGGTTCGCTGGATGAGCCCTAGTCTGTGAGGCAGTCAGAGGCAGCCAGGACATCAGGAAGTGCTTCAGGAGACTCATCTGTTGGAGGCTGCGTGTCCCTGCTGCGGTGGGCCTGGGGTGAGGATGGCAGAGGGGTGTGGCAGCCTCACTCTCCTTGTGGGTGAATGTCTTGAGGTGCATCCTCGTGGCTGGAACTCTCTTTGGCAGCAGCTGAGTTCTCTTTCCCAAGAATGAAGGTAGTGCAACTTGGATTTGGCTGGTCATCTCAGCCCAAATTTGCATTCGATGTCTTCCTGATGGAGCTGTTAGAGCTCGTGCTGCCTTCTTCAGCTGTGAGGAGACTAGGACCTGATGCTCTTCAGGTTGCCATTTGCCAACTTTTGAAATGGTGTTTTGGAAGCCATCTGGTAATGGGTGTTACTGGCAGACAAATATGTGTATCAGATGGATTTGCGTTTAGATTCTTTTCAGGTATTTCTTTTATTTATTTATTTATTTGTCTGCATTGGGTCTTAGTTGCAGCACGTAGGATCTTAGTTGTGGCATGCAGAATCTTTTCGTTGAGGCACGCGGGCTCTTCATTGCAGGGCGCAGGCTTCTCTCTAGCTGTGGTGCTTGGGCTCTAGAACACACAGGCTCAGTAATTGTGGTATGTGGGCCCAGTTTCCCCATGGCATGTGGGATCCTAGTTCCCTGACCAGGGATGGAACCTGCGTCCCCTGCATTGGAAGGTGGACTCCCAACCACTGGACCACCAGGGAAGTCCCCAGGTATTTCTTTAATACATTATTTGTTATTTTCCAAAGGTAAAATTTGGAAATGTAGAACTGTCCCCTGGGCCTTTCTTTCCAAGGCTATAAAACCAAGGGCTAGGCAGGCCTTTGAGTAGCACCGATATGGACGGCCTGTGCACTGCTGGAGGGCCATCGCCATCTAGAAAGAGGAAGCCCCAGGACAGGGCATTTAGTGGGTGGCCTAGGATCAAGAGGCCTGGGCCCAGCCTCCAGATTTCAGATAGGAAAGGGTACTTATTTCACAGACGAGAAACCAAAGACAGTAGGTAATTTGCTCAAGGACTCCAAAGTTCCTGCTTTCTAGTGCAAGTTACTCCTAAGCTATCTCTGACCACAGAGCTGCCGGGATTCTCAGGCTGGCATCCTCCTTACCTTGCCCTTTGTCTTCTGTCAGGAGGTTTTGGTATGGCAGACCATGTGTTGAGTTACCAGCCAAACTGGAAGTGGGCCAATCCACTCCTTTGCTCACCTTGTTCACACCGTAAGGAAACTACTTAGATGCCCATTATAAGCTGTGAGAGCCAAAACCACATAGTTTTAGGTGGGCCAAATGCCTTGTAAAATACTTTAAACATTTCCCTTATTTTTTCCTCTCTGTAAATTCATATTTTCTAATTTCTATTCTTTCTTAAATATTAAATTGAAAAGGGAGACTATGAAGAACTATGAAATGTAGCCTTTGGGTTGATGATTGGTTAGATGGTGGGTAATTGCAAGATGGTTAGTGACCTCATAGCTTAATCATGAAACTTTGAGACAGGAAACTTTAATTTGTTGATGAACTCTGAAGTGGTTAGTTATTACCCCCATTTTCTTTGCCTTATACAAGATTTGACTCCAAACTTTCAGCACCCAGAGGAAGTTGTAATTTATTTTTTATCTAGCTTGTATATGTAAAATAAAATTACACAATCATTTTTTTTAAGCTCCTGCAGGAAATGTTTAATCAGTTTTAGATGCTGAATTGGGAAATTCCCTCTGGGATTGAGGAGTTAGTTGCAGAGAAACAAGACAGGGTGAGATATTATTTACATCTGATATGCCTTTAGTTGACAACAGCTGATTTAATCTAGCTGAAGTCATGGATAACCATTATAATCAAATGAGAAAGCATGACTGGAATGTTGAAGAAATTATTCCTATTTAACTCCTTATATGTAATGTTGATGATCACTTGCACATTAATTTTTGCCAGGAGCTTCATTACACTCTAGCCTTATTTTTAGCAGCTCACAGCTGAGTTTCAGAATAGCATTTCTTGCAAAGCTGGAATAATAGCCTGGGACTCAGGGGCCCCAGACCCACCCAGAGCCTGGCTCTCATAATGCAGAGGCTGCACTGGTGTCAGTCTTGGCTGCCCACCCACAGCCTGGCCAGCTGTCACTTAATTTCCTTTTAAGCCACTCCTTGAGCAAGTCCTGAGCCCCTCACTGTGCTCAGAGAAAGCTTAGACCTCAAGGGGGTCGTAATTTGCTTGCTCGTAGGAAGCCCACATGCCCTTTTTTAGTTGTAGGCTGGCCTATGACTTATGGTGCCATCTCTTCCCTTTAAATGTTAAGGTGATTTGAACTCTGTCAGACAATGATATATTTTTATTGTTTTAATTTAAAAAAAGAAAATGTTTACTTACTGCAATTCCACTTCTAGATAGTCACCAAGAGAAATGAAAACATGTCTACAAGAAGATCTGAACACAAATGTTCTTAGCAGTTGTATTTATAGTACCAAAAAGTATAAACAAGTCGTGTCAATCAACAGGTGAGCGGATAAACAAACTTGTAGTTTATCCATACAGTGCAATACTGAGCAATGAAAAGAAGCAAACTATCAATACACACAAGTGTGGGTAAATATTAAAACACTTTGCTGAGAGACAGAAGCCACAAAGAAAAGAATCCCTATGGAATATGTTTACATATAAATATTGTACAAGAGAGGATGCGTGAAAATATTTTTATATATGTGGATATGTGTTTATCTATGTATTTCTATGAAGTTCTAGAACTAGCAGCACTTATCTCTAGTGATAGAAATGAGGCCAATTGTTGCCTGGGGATCGTGGTGTTGGAAATCGACTCCAAAAGTGCACAAGGAGCCTCTTGTGGTGCTGGTTACCCAGATGTATATATTTGTCAAAACTTATTGAACTCTATACTTTAAATGAGTACATTTTATTTTCCATAAATTATACCTCAGTAAGGTTGATGAATTAAAAAATATATTGATAAAATATCCAGAAAAAAAAAAAAAGGAAAAAGGAAGCATGAGTAATGCCTATTAGCCTACATTTTAGCTAATGAATGGCTGAGAGACTGGCCTGAAGTTGTGGAGCTAGAAGGCAATCAGGAGGATCTCTAGATGTTATCTGGGACACAGAGTCCTTAGTCCAGAAAATGATGATGGGGTTTTCTTCTAATGTCAACCGAGCAGCATTGTCTTCCACAAGGAGTGTTAATAGAGTTTGGGGTCTTCTCTCAGGTAGTGAGAAGATGAGGGGCTGGAATCCCTTGGCTACTCTCTCAGTCTTTTGGGTTGGAGGGCTTATGTTGGTGTGGTTGGGGACCCATACCAATAGGTCTAAGAGGACCTAGGACCCACAAAAGCAGCCTGAGATAACAGAACAAAACATAACAGCCCAGACTCCAAACCCACCCAAGACAGAGACGCTGCTGGGTCTGCTTGCCTTGTCAGCCCTTGGAAAAGACGACCACGTGCTGGAGGCCATGTCCATGTTTCCAGATGTCCCATCACTTCCAGAGCTCTAACCATCTTAGAGACTTGATTGATGAATATAAATTGATGGTGGTCTGTTTCATATTTGTCATGTATTCCACTGAGTTACATTTGTGTTTCCTACTGACTCTCACATTTACTCCCAGGAATAGGCCCTTGCAGTCACTCCCTAATTTTCTGAGCTCTAGAGGATAATTAGAATGAAGCTAATATCGAATGAAGATGTGCTCATTCCCCACCCTGAGGCATATTTAATAATTCAGAGTGCTTCGTTTGCATGATAAGCTGGGTAGTTACCTCTGGTTGAAATTTGAAAGATTATATACCAATTGAAAAATTGAAGTGGATGCAGAATAACACCTGCCCAATCAGCTACTTCACTATTGTGTCCTAAGAAGGCATAATAGAAATAAGAGGAAAATCAGTCCCCACAACATGGACCTCTCAAAATAACATTCTCAAAATAATGTTTTCACCTGGGAAAGCTGTATGTGGATTCCATGATCCACCCCTTAGCTAAACATAAATTAGACAGTAGTTATTAACCTAAGGGTTCTGCTGGTAGAGCAGAGAGCATCTGTTTTTGTTTTTTTTTTGCCCTGCCCTATCATGGTTCAGGTTTGGAATGAATCAATTAAGCAGAAAATTAAATAAGCATCCATCATGGCTTTAAGGTAAGATAGACACAAAATATAATAGACTAAAACCTCATATAATATGTGCTGCAGACAGCATTTTGGACATACCATGGTGTGGTTTTCCTTTAGTCATTGAAATTGTTTTCCATGCATGCAGTTAACACAGTTGTGCTCAGGCCTCCTGCACACCACCCTGGAGAGCATTGTGATGATGCCCAAGGGAAGCTAAGAGGCCATAGGAAACAAACACAGCAATACTGGACAGTGCCTGCTTCCAGTCACATGA